TCAAAGTTCCTAGCAAACCGCATCCAAATTGCTACTAGGATTTTTGAAAATTTTTATGTTTCGCCTAACAGCATGTTACTGATAAGGTTGCGCAGCCTGAATCTTTGCACGACTTCACTCACTTCACTTCACTTTTTTAGCCCAACTATATCCTACTATATATAAAAAAATAGTGTCTGTGTGTGTGTGCCACTTTGCATCCACTTCCGTATCGTTGTTCCAGTAGTATCTCCATAGGGGAAGAAGTTAGGAATAGGTACGATATGTCATTAGGTTCGTCATGGTCTAGGGAAAACTGCCCACATATCAGATTTATAAAAATCAGCCATTTTCGATATTAAATTTAAGTTTTTGTAAAACCCTCTTCGCTAGGAAAAATTAGCATTGACCGGAAGTGGGTAGTCGCCTATATAAATCGCCTACAAGCGAATCATTTTCATTTTTTGTCATCTGAATTCAGCGCGATTATGCAAAGCGTAGAACAGCATGCGGTCCAAGACGGGGCCAGGGTTGAAAAGTCGCGAAGCGGCTTTTCAACCCTGGTTAAATTACTAATGAAATTACGGCAATCTTTTTTGTTATATCTTGCAGCCCTGGAGGTTCTTTTGCATTTGCAAAGGAGGACGTTTCTTAAGAATATAGTCGAAAAACTCCAATCCTACTATATATAAAAAAATAGTGTTTGTGTGTGTGTGTATATTTGCATGCACTTCCGTTTGGATGTTCCGCACCTACAGCCTCAGGGAAGCATTTTTTCGGTAGGGAAGAAACGACATAGGGTAAAGAAGGGGCTGGAATCGACTGCACACAAATACAAGTTTTGAAAAATTGCTATTTTCGATATTAAAATTAGGTTTTTGTAAACTTTTCTGCCAACCACTTTGTTAGGAAGCAATTAGCATACGCCGGAAGTGGAAATGGTTTATAAAAAGGAAGAGAGGGCGCGCTTTTCATTTTTTGGTGAGCGGTTTTGGCAAGGATTATGCAAAGTCAATAACTTCATCGATCCTAGACGGGGCCAGGGTTGAAAAGCCGCGAAGCGGTTTTTCAACCCTGGTTAAAATTAAAAGCAATTTTGTCTTTTGATACTCAAGAATTCTAGAATTTTCTAGGTTCATACATTCATGAAACATTTATTACAAACCACATCAAAGAGGCGCCCCTTATCGTCGGCCACCATCCACGCCACCATCCCCGTCACAACCATCCTGAAATTGAGAAAAACCATGTTTCATACCTATTCCATTAAAGTATCAGATTTCTACACGCCATTCATCGATGTTTTTTCAAATGAGACATTCCACAATTCTCAAGGAACTGTTACAGCAAGAACTAAAAATTGATAGCCCGTTAATTGTGATTTATAAAAATTATAGATTTACCATTTGGTAAGAGTTTACTTTACCCCCCCACAGCCGAAGGGTCTCAAAGTTGTCGGTATTTTCGCTTATTTTGTCGGGATTTTTGCAACGCCATTCGATAGAGCGTCGAAAAATATACTAAGAGTTTTAATTTGAGCCTACAATAATGTAAAATAAAAAAGTTATAGACAAAAACTTCCGGCTGGGGGGAGGTAAAGTAAACCGTAGCGACCATCTACTATATATAAATTTCTAATGTCCGTACGCCCGCCGACCGGGAATTCAACATGCCCCCAGGGCATGTCCCGGGGAGAGGGGGCGGGGCCAAAGGTCACAGGGGGCGTTCGCGCATTAATGGTAGCAGGAATCCCCAAACAAAAGAATAATTGTTTCGCAACGGTTTTTATTGTTTTTTTTCGTATTAACGAAGGGGAAATAACTTTCTTTCAAGGGTATTCTAGCCATTACGCGTTTCTTAGATGTTTTTTAGTATCTAAGAAGGGGAAATAACGTTCTTTCAAGGGTATTCTAGCCATTACGCGTTTCTTAGATGTTTTTTAGTATCTAAGAAGGGGAAATAACGTTCTTTCAAGGGTATTCTAGCCATTACGCGTTTCTTAGATGTTTTTTTAGTATCAAAGAAGGGAGATATTCTATCCATTCCATCCATGTTTTAAAGGGTATTCTATCCATTACCAGGTTCTTCTGTTTTTTATTCTTGAAGAAGGGTGATAGCTTTGCTTCCAGGGGATGTTCTGACCATTACGCTTCACTTCTATTTTTGTTGAGGATCAACTAAGGTTGTGGAGTTTCTTTCAGGGAGCATTCTGAGGGGGGACAGGCTATTTGGTTTTGAACATGGGCGTAGGCATATTTCGAAGGGTATTCACGCCAATGGGGAAACAGCGGGAAAAGATAATGGGAAGCACCCTGTAGTGCCTTGCCCCCCGGGAGGGCCAGTCGATAGCAGCCGTGAAGCGGCTGTTATCGACTGGTTTTCTATATAGTAGTACCCAAGTAAGAATTGAGAATGAACATTGCGAGTCAAAGATCCATCAAAAAACAAAAATTTCTCTCACCAAATGGCGATGCCGGAAAAGTCGACGGTCCACCAGAAGAAGTGCTCCACGTGCGAACGGGAGTGCTGAAAATCGGGCCTTTTAATCTATTTAAATAGATAGCATAATAATTATCTAATGGATTATTATTTATGAGAAAATCTTCATTAAGATAATTCAGGTAATTTTTAGAAAACCCACCATTAAATGGGCGAGGGTGCTGCAGCCGAGCAGCGCCGCCACCCCGATGTACAACAGGATCAGGGTTGAACTGGAAAATATTGGGATTTGAAAAGGACAAACGAAAAAATAAACCGAGCAATAAAAAGCAAGAGAAAATATAATATTTTTTGTCGGTAAAACACTGGCTTTAATTCTCTCATCAAAACCTGAACGCAGTATTGTTAGTTACGAAACATATGTTTTATAGAGATCAAAATTTCTGCTAGCGTAGACACAGTCGTTCTCTCTCGCTGTCTCTCGCTGTCTCTCTCTCTCTCTCTCTCTCCCGCCTAGCAGCTACCTGGGCTCTGTACATCTCCATTCGGGCAGAAGATAGCCGCAGACGATGATGATGAACGGCACCAGATGTGTCCACACGTTAATCTGGAACCAAAAATAAATAAATAATTTTTTAATGATTTTTAAATCAGATCGCAGTCAGAAATTACGAAAATTCCAAAGTACAGATACGTTGAGCGCGATTAGGTTTCGTCGTCGAGCTTATTGAGCTCTGGAATGAAACATTCAAAAAAAAAACCCGTTCCAGATCCCAAAAATTTCTAGAACCTGCCAATTCGTTGTGCACGCCGAAGATGCTGCTCCAGTAGTAGATGTGGGGCTGATGCAGGGGACGGTACCCTGAGTAAATCACAATGAATTGTACATAAAATCAAACCATAAATTTAACAAAAATACATCGAATCAATTAAAATTAACTTAAATTAGGCGAAAAAACAGCTGAAATGCTTAAAATATCCGGACAGCCTGGTTCGGGAGGTCTAGGGCCCAGCATATTTTGTGCACATTTTTTGTTGATTCCGTATCCGGGTTTCAAAACTGCCGTGGAGCTATGGTTAAAGGTAAAATCAGGAAAAGTTGGGATTTTTAGGTTGGTGAACACGCGACATGCAATACGCTCTAATCAATCAACATTTTTTTGAAATCAATTGAAACATTTAGCAAAAAAAGAAAGCAAAGATTTTGCGAAAAGATGTTTCGTGTAACTGTGGACCTCGATGGATGTGGGGGCGCAGCAGCAGCGACGGGACACAGGCGTGCTCCAGCATTTTTATGCCGAAATACTTTTTTAAACCTTTTCCATTTCTGCCCCGAAATTCGATTGGCACCAATGCTGGTTATTTAAATCTCAATTTTATTCAAAATTTTGGATCCTTCGCCTTTCCGGGGGGATCGAGCTTTTTTGTATAAGTCTAGAAATGTATTGTAGAAAGTAAGTTAATAGGCAGTGTTTTAATAGTGTTTTTCGTAATATAGAACCATAATTAAACGGTAAAACCTGCTAAAAACCTTAAAAATGTGAAACAGTCGAAATTTTTGTAAAAAATCGGCCTCTTTTTTGTCGATAAATCGATATTTTTTATGGTTTTTAACAAAAATCGTAATTTTTTATTTTTACGAATAGTAAAAAATCATTTAGAAACACACTGCCACTATTTTTATTTGAAAAATTACTAAGAAAGAAAAAAGTTCGCACTGGCTATGATGATACCATCGTTTTAATGTGAATATTTTGCAAATCTTTAGCATCAAAAGTTTGTTATTTTTTTTAGTAAGTAGTGAAGGAAGGCAACAAAATTAAGAGCCAATCGAATAAGGCAAAGCCAGAATAAACATCAATGTTGGAAAACCATGCCAGCCACGTGCATCAATTGGAATGTATGGAACAGCTTAAATGAGCCTTAGCGCTTTGCTGAAACATTCAACCAGCAGCTTTTCGGGGGCAAGATCGGTAAAGTGTGAAAAGGGCGACATCCTTATCCACGCTTGTGGAAGCAGAAACTGCTATAGCGTGGATCTATTTTTTAAAAAAAGGGGAGATGAAACTTTCTTGGTTCTGGACTGTTAGCAGGGGGGGGGCGGGGATTTTTAGCTTTTAGCAGGGGTTAAAGCCACTTTCTTTCTTTCTTTTTTCTTTTTTCTGTTACGTGTTGATGTTGTGTAGTTTTCTAGTGTTTTTAGCAGTTTTTGATTTCCAGAAGACTAAAAAATCTGTTTAAAAACTTTTTAAATTCGAAAATCATCGCCTTTTTTGGTCATTTTAGAAGGTAAAATGATTAGTGATTAATAAATAATAAGATTCTGATTAATAAAAAATAATGTTTCGGCACTGGAGAAAACTTCGAAACATATTTTTGGCCGAATATGCTTTAAATAGATCTTCATCCTAAATTAATCTTTTCACAATCATGAAAATTCATAAATTCTAAAATCACAATCGCTTAATACAAACCGTAAGCTCAATCCGAAGTAAAGCTCGAAGCGAGAGTGCGAGAGAGAGAGAGAGAGAGAGAGAGAGAGAGAGATACCTAGAGAAACATATCAAAATTCAAAAATTCTATTCCTCTTTTTCGGAATTCGGCATTTCGGCATATTTTTCGATAGCGAATCGCATCAGCCGTCTGATCGTCTCGAAGATGACGGCGATTCCGATGAGGAGCACAAACAGCTGGAAAATTTAATTTAACTCATATCTATTCTAGACGGTTGGTATTTACTAGACGCTTTAGAATTTTATGAGATAAATAAGGCAGTTATCAGCTTATGTTGGTACAACGATATTTAGGGAGAGATTTGGAAAACACCGCCAAACTTCGACGAAATTTTTTTAAAGAATATGTTGCAAAACTTTTCCTCGTTATGTTTATTACGCGCAGATTAATGCACCGCTCTTTCTTTGGATTCCCTTGCCACTTTTCAATATCGATTTCAAAAATTGCTAATTCAAAACAATTTTGGACAAAAAATTATTAAAATGAACCATCTCTAATAATCTCTCAATTTACAGAATATTGTCCACGTTTTTCGATTAATCAGAATAATTATAAAATAAGAAAAAGAATTTTTGAAACATGTTTTTGCCGACAGCGGTATACGTTGCTTACCGTGGCCAGATTTTTCGGCAAGAATGGGGAAGCGGTTGAGGGGTCACAGTCCAAATGGGCCGCATCCACCAGATTCCACGCGACCATGATGATGCAGATGTGGAACAGCTGAAAAATCATACAGAATTAAAATAAAATAGTAGACCATCTCACCGTAGAAAGTCAATTTAAAGGATAGTTTCGTTTCCATGCCCCGGAATTTTTAAATGTTTCATCCAGGGATCCACACTAGCCTGATAACTACGGTCCAGTGATCCCTTCCAATATGCCGCAAATTCAAAAAATCGTTACCAAGTAGGAGTACGGTGTATTTTTAAGAGAAACATATAATTCCATTTCTATATATTTTTGCTAGGTAAATAATAATCCTTAAGTCGATTCAATTCCATATTCTAAGGCTAGCTTGCCGGCTAGTGTTGGTTTTAAGTCCGAAAAATGTATGGACGTCCACGGACCTTGGACTAAAAACCAACACTATTGCCGGCCCTCAAAAATTTCGTAAATGTTTTATGCCAGGGTTTTCACGAATTTCGATTTTTTTCGCGTTAATTAGTTGGGAGTAAGCATATTCACAATAAAATCTTCATCAACTTTGATCTTGACCTTGCATCAAAAATTTTCTTGTAAGTCAGTCAACATGAATTCAATTAATTACATCCAGCCTCCAATTTGCTTAAAATATTTTGGAAACATTTTTCAAAAACCGATAGCCTACCTGATGTCCGTAGCCCAAAAGGTCGAACCGTCCGGGAAACCAGCGCTCCGGGACGTTACCGCCTGAAACAAAGTATCGGAATTTTAGCATGCTGTAATTTTTTTTAAGAATTACGCGTTATCAAATCCCGGTTATAATTTTTAGTTTTTAACGAAATTAGGGATTTTTTGTGAGATTTGTGAAATTAGAGTTAGTGATGTTTCAAATTTACTGCGGATAGAAAGGGCCCGAGCTTCATTATTATTAGCTGGGCCAACACTGGCTTAAAATGTTCTAAAAATTCTTACTTCTTGTTGCTTAAATTTTTTGCACCTTAGTTCGCATTTTTATGCTCATAAATATTTAGAAAACTCTTACCAAGTTTTATCGCCTCGAATCGATTGCTTTCAAAAAAAATTTCAGTGGAAAAAATATGCTTTTCAAAACGCCCATATCCGGCTCACACCCGTCATGTTAATACTTGCTATTGGTCGGGTGGTATCACATTCTGATACGGTTAGATAAAAATAGAGATTTTCAATTACGAGAATCAGATACAGAAACGTTTACTTTTGGCTACCTTTTAATTTCTAGACCTTGGATATCTTACACCATTTACAGTAGAAACTATTCTTATCAAACTATTTTTATTATCGTTTACCGCCTATTAATTTCCAATTGCAAAAAAATGTTTCACAAAACCGGCAGATCAAGAATTTTCTTGTACTTCAATTTCGGATTGGGTACGACGGAAAATATTAAAAACCTACCCATGAAAATGCCGGAGACGAGCAGCCACTGGAATGCGCGGGAGTGCATCTGCAGTGAGGGCGACGTTTCGGTGGGGGTCGTCTAAAAACGCAATAATTATAATTAATAATATCACCGATACAGCATTTCTCTCCTCCTCATACCACCACTCGGCCGATACAACATTAGTTTGATTTGAAACACTCACCCAGAATCGGCGGACCAGCGGTGCGTTCAGGTAGATAGCCATAGTAAGGCAGGCAATCAGGCGGATTAAATTACTAGAGGCAACTATTGAATTTTAACGCAATCAACGAATATAAAAACGTTATTTGATAACCTACCGCATTTTCCAGTGGGGTCTCGTCACGAAAAATACGGTAGTCGTCATGAATTGGATGGGAAGGACGACGATGAGGAGGGACGGGAGGTAAAGCTAGAAAACGACAATTCTTGTTTCAAATTGGGGCGGAAGGTTTATCCTCGATGAAACATTTTTTGTTACAAATATATGGAAACCACTTCTTTGTTTTCAAATTTTTCTAGTATGAATCAGTGTCGATTTCTTTTTTACATGTTACTAAATTAACAAATTATTATTAACAATAACAAAAAGTTAACAAAAATTAAAACTGAATTTACTAATTAGCAATTGATTAAAAATTTTTTAGACGAGATGAAATATAAACCCACAAAAAGATAAAACGAGAGTGATTCTCGTCTAGAATTGGGCTGGAAAGCTTGTCATCGGCGAAACATTATTAGTTATTTCTAGTATTCTGGTATTTAAAAATTCTTATTAGCATTCCAGTGTTTACGAATTTCTAAATTATTTTTATTTATTCCTAAACGTAAACACTTTAGCATTCTTTTATAACCAACAAAAATATTTTTATACGAACCCGGATTCCCATGTAAACTTCGACCGGAACGCTTATTCTCGATGAAACACTTTTTTTACCCGAAAAAAATGGCCAGCCAAATTGTTTTTTAATTTTTCTAATATAAGCCAGGGCGTGTTCCTTAGCTATTTTTCTGTTCCTAAGCCTAACAACTTAGTGATTTTTATTAAAAACGCTCAGAAATCAATTTTTGCGACGGATTTTTGGATAGCTTTCGGCTTGTGAAATCTAGTTAAATTTTTGTTAAAAACACTTTAAAAATACTTTATGTTACGTTACTAACATTTCTGGAAGTATAGGAACCAATTAGCCCTCCCCCCCGCCCGATAATGCGAAAGAAACGAACGCGGCAATCTTGCAGAGGCGGCATTGTCAATTTTTATTGCATAGATTAATTATAACTTCCGATATCGAAATTTAGCTACGCAATCAAAAATCCGTACTTATTGGTAGCAGATAAAATTATGCAACTAGAAATCTAGCAGAGATCATTAAGTAAGTAGAAGGCTATATATAAAGCATACCCAATCAAAGAGCAGCCCCGACTCGTGCTCAGCCGAATATCGTTGCAGCCCAATCGTTAAGCTCCAAATTCCGATGCCGGCAAAATCGACGCAGAACCAGAAGACATGATCGATGGGTGAGCGGGAATGCTGGAAGATCGTAATTTTCGTATTTTTTAATGGTATTTTACATGTTTTTGAATTTTTTAAATAGGTCCTTTTGCCTTAACTTGGCAACCGAAAATGAAAATGGATGAATTAACAGAATCAAAAATTTTGGAAAAACTATGTGCTTCATCATTTAATGATGTGGAGGAAAGATGTAGGGCAGTTAATACGCTTCACGTTGAGATTTGTTTCACTTTTTACATTACCGCAAATTTTCTGGGCACGCAGAAGGTATTATTATTTTCATCTTGCCAAAATTTAAAATATCGAAAGTGATTTGTTTCAACATTTAATGCACTCAAATTCAAAACTCAAAAATCAATTTTTTTCCAATTTTCTAGAGGTTTGCGATGGATATGCAGGGCGTCCCAATAAAAAAGTTCACGCTGGCTATTTGCCATTCGAAATCCGATCGACTTGAAATTTTGAACAGAGGTGCGGACTGGAATTTAAAATTTTCACAGAAGCTTGTAGCCCCCTAGCTACAGTAGTTTTTGAGTTATTGCAAAAATAAACATTATTTTACGTTTTTAACATGTTTTTCGCGCCTTGGAATGGTGTTGGGGAAAATGAAGCGCCGACCTTTTTATCCCAGAAAATTTTTTATTTTGCCCATTCCGGTTTGGAAATAAGCTATTGAAGTGTTTTAACATGCGTTATCAACCCCGATGTTTGGCACAATGAGGGATCTAAAACCGGAAATTTATGTTAATTGATGCAAAGTCCAAAAAGATAGCGGAAAAAAGTAAAACAAAGTGTTTGAAAAACGGTATTTTGGCAATAACTCAAAAAATACTGTAGCTAGAGGGCTGAAATTTTTTGTGAACATTTTAAATTCTCTTCCGCAGCTATGTTCAAAATGACAAGTCGATCGGATTCGAAATCACAAAATGCCAGCGTGACCTTTTTTATCGGGACACCCTGTATTCCAACAAATGAAATTTCGGGAAAATGACATTTCGACAAGACAAAGACACTATTTATCGACAATAAATTTCGATATACTGACACCAAGTCCACAAAAATCCAGCTAATTAGCTTCGGACCCAAACCTTGTTGCAAATAAAAAATCATGTTGCATCACGTCGTGTAGTCAACTAGCTATCGGCAATTTTAATGTTTCCGTCATAAACATCATAGTCAAATTATTGTAGAGTAAGGAACTCTGCTCATTTAAAATTTTCTCAAACAAAATCCGGAGTCCGGACTAGTTCAAGAGGCCGGATCAAAAAATATGTTTCTGATATATATCATCTTGTACGGTTTTAATCTAATTTAATCGGCTCCTTAGTTGGAACTCACTAATAAATGGGCGATCGTGCTCCCGGTCATCAGGCACACCGTCCCGAAATGGAGCAACAGAGCCGGGAATCTGAAAGGTATTTTAAAAATAGATCTCGATACACTTAATCTTATTTCTCTTTGTAAGATCTCTGCTACATGGCCAATAATTTTAAAGGGACGCGCAAGGCATGAGCATCGTTTTTAGTTCGTGCTTCTTTATCTTTGCTTGTCCAATCGCGGCCAAATAGATAGGATGAGAAGATAAAGCAATTATTAATGTTTTGCACCTCCATAATTAAATTTTACTTGAAACATTTTAAAATTAAATAAAAAATTTTTTATTGAACGACCTCGGTGCATCCGACTGTAATTCCGGGATGATGTAATAGACGGTGAGGAGGAGGATCGGCACGAAATGCGTCCAAACATTTACCTGAATTTTAATCTTTCTCATTTAAAAAACAAAATCATCCAAGATTAGAAACAAAAAATTATTAAAAAATTAATTTTTTCGAATGCGATGCGAACGCGAATACCCACGGATGATTTTAATCAGCTCTAACGATTTTTGAAACATGTTGTTTTTAATGCCTTTTTTATCAATTGTTGTCTAATTGCTTATGCCATTTTTACGTGTCCATTACTTTCCGGAAAAAACGATATAACGAGGTGGGGATGTTATGAAAATTACATTGAAATATTAAAATACTTAAAAAATCAGTTTATTTAGTTGTGCAGCGTAAAGCGTGGATTGATTTCCTCAACATTTCTTTATTTTCAAATTTGCCCAAAACATTTTCTTGTAAATATGAGTTTTGCGAGGACTGGAGACCAAAACACTTTTTTTACTTGTTAATAACATGTCATAACTTAGGTCGCCAATCTGCCCTAGAGGAAAAAAAAATGAAGAATAAAAAATAACCCACCAGCTCATTATGGACCTGAAAGGCACTCTTGTAGTAGTAGAATCGGGGCTGGTTCATCGGCCGATAGCCTGCAAATGTACACGGTAGAAATTTGCTATTCTGATGCTTTTGGAGGCAATTTTTGCACATTCTCTTTGCTACCGGAATTCTGAATTATTGCTGTTTTAAATTTAGCTTCTTTAGGTTACACAGATTTTCTGGATGTGTTAATTAAATTTAATTTCATTTAAATGCTACTAATACTTTTGGAATTGCATCATCAATGTTTAAACAAATACCGTTTTGAATGTGCAATCGTTGTAACAAAATTGGTACGTCATTTGAGGTGAGCATCCCTGAAAATACGGTGTAATTTTAGGTCTATTTTAATTTAGATAATATTGGATGAGCTAAATAACAAATAATAATAATCATTAGATAAAAGAAATAGCATACGGATGTACAAGTACAAAAGGGGAAATTACGAAATAAAATGTTTCACGAGAAAATTTCGTAAAAAAATTAGAAAATGCCCACAATGTAGTCATCGGAAAAATTGGTAAAAGTCAATGAAATCATGGTATGTCATTAACTAATTCGGACTTGTGCTATCTTCCTAATTTTTTCAAACATGAACTTTCCAACATTTTTTTAGAGTCTTTCGTCAGCGGCCATTAATTGAATAAAAGGGGCAAATGAATGTCGAAAGCGGTTTGGCACGACACGACACATGTTTCATGAAAATCATTGCTCTACCTTGATATCAACCTCCCAATCTGTGCTTCTTTTCTTACCAACCTGCATCGCCTTAATGAGGAAATCCTACTATATATAAAACCAGTGGAAAAAGACCGCTTCGCGGCCCTTTTCCACTGGACCCCGTCCAGGAACCATGAATTTGAACACCTTCCTTTTTTTAGCCTGCGGCGCAAGTACGTTGGTCAAGGAGCCATCCTTTGGCCTGCGGCGCGAGAGCCTGGATCAAGGACCCTTTCTTTGGCCTGCGGCGCTAGAGCCAGAGCCAGGCCTAAACCTCGCGCTAGAAACTTTTTGCCTGCGGCGCTAATTACTGGTTGTTCTCCAGGATCTGGCCTGCGGCGCAAGAGCCTAGATCAAGGACCCATCCTAGGCCTGCGGCGCGAGAGCCTGGGTCAAAGACCTTTTCTTCGGCCTGCGGCGCTAGATCGAGGGTCAGGCCTAAACCTCGCATGCGATAGCATAGAACGATGTTTTGCTTGCTAAACTACCAAAAAGCAAAAAGCCAACTTGGCCCAGGATCCGAACCTATGTCCTTCCGCGTGGTAGCCCGGGAGCTAACCCCATACACCAAGAGGCACATGGGGACAGGGGGCGGGAAAGGCCTCTTCCGTTCTGGGGAGGCGCGGGAGGCAAACAGAGGGCCGACCAAATGCCCCGGGCGGGAGGCCTTCTGGCCACTTTACAAAATTCCATTTTTGAGTCACAATCCGCTGAAAATTTGTAAAGATAATAAGATGCGCATGATCCCCACTTTTGATTGCCTAAATGGTCTAAATTTCAGCCCGGAATTCCATCAGGGCTTCGAGTTATGCCCCGGACACCACGGCTCTTGGCCCATTTTGTTAAGGACCTTTGGAAAAATGCTAATAAAAATTTTAGATTACAAAATCTGCCAAAACCCAGAATTATATCACAGGAGAATGTAATTTTCAATCTGCCCTCCAAAAATTAGCGCCTAATTCCATTTGGCTCGAGAGATATCCTCTGAACAAACCTTTTTTCGGCCAAGTTGTTAAGGATTTTGCACTATTTTGCTTGTAAAATCGTTAAATGAAGGAATTTCGAAAAACAAAAAAATGCGTCACTGACAAATGTGTTTCTCCACCTCCATGCCAAAAATCAGCCGGAAATTCGGCCTAACGGCCGAGAAATCGGCTGTACAGAAAACACACATACTTTTCTCGCTTATAGGATAGGAAAATAGTGTCTGTGTGTGTGTATATTTGCATGCACTTCCGTTTGGATGTTCCGCACCTACAGCCTCAGGGAAGCATTTTTTCGGTAGGGAAGAAACGTCATAGGGTAAAGAAGGGGCTGTAATCGACTGCACACATATAAAAGTTTTGAAAAATTGCTATTTTCGATATTAAAATTAGGTTTTTGTAAAGTTTTCTGCCAACCTCTTTGTTAGGAAGCAATTAGCATACGCCGGAAGTGGAAATGGTTTATAAAAAGGAAGAAGGGCGCGCTTTTCATTTTTTGGTGAGCGATTTTCGGCAAGGATTATGCAAAGTCAATAACTTCATCGATCCTAGACGGGGCCAGGGTTGAAAAGCCGCGAAGCGGTTTTTCAACCCTGGTTTAACATAATAAGGCTCAATCCCTGTGATAAATTTAATAAATAGATTCAGAAGTCTCTAAATCTCGATCATTTCCTAGGGACTTTAACTTACTACCAGGGTTGAAAAGCCGCTTCGCGACTTTTCAACCCTGGCCCCGTCTAACCCTATGATGTTATTCCGCTTGCATAAATGTGCCCCGATTACGATGGAAAAAAAATGAAAAACGATCCCTTTGGCCTTTATATAGGCTACTGCAACTTCCGGCTTATGCTAATTTTATCCTAACAAAGTGGGTGGCCGAATTTTTACGAAAAACTTAATTTTAATGTCGAAAATAACATGTTTTACAAAATCTGATAAGCTTGCAGCCATACCACGGCCATTACGCATCTAATGACGTATCAAATACCTCCTTACACCCCTCCACTTTTGAGATATCCACCGGACATGGTGACGGAAGTTGCATGCAAAGTGGCACACACACACACACAGACACTATTTTTTTATATATATAGTAGGATTTTAATCCAATAAATTAATTCGGTTAGATGCAGTTTAAAATGCCGTGTATTTCATTTCAACAAAATTTGCTAATTATCTAGTAGGCTAATTAGCAATTTAGAGAGCACTAAATAATTGGCTTAATCTGGTTCAGCTGTCCCGTGGCCGGTCAGTCACAGTCCCCCCGAAGGACATTGATAAGCAGCGCGGGGGAGGCTAATTTTGACCCATGTTGCAGAGTCCATATAAATCTGTAAATCAGAGATTTACGGAGCTTGATTAAACATCTTAAGCCTAAAAAAACTAGAAGCTTAGAAATTGGGGCCAAAGGGATAAAATTTAGCAATGAAGATGGTTTTTCGAGAAAAAGTCTGATGTTTCAAATATATTATGGCTATGCCCGATTTGGATAAAAAATAGTCAATAGGCATTTATTGAAGCAAGAACTGTTGCATTTCTTTCCGACGATATTTTCAAAGAAATTAAAGAAGCTAAACTGAACTAAAAACTTTAAAACTTAGTTTGCTATAAATTTGGACCAAGGTATGACATTTAGTAAAAAGTACTTTTTCGGGAAAATTATGATGTTTCAACTATGTCATGGGGTTGCTGGCATACCGTCTTTTTATTCAACATTCGGAGCTGCTAGGAAAAATCATTACAAGCCCCGTTGACGTCATGGCACCCGAATTTTTTCAAACCTGGTTTTATGCATAAGCTTTGAAAGCGCTATTTCCAAAAAATAGCTTTTCAAAGGGAATTAAATAGGCGAAATTCAACCCGAACCAGAGTTTCTGAAACCTGTGTTTTGCAGGATATATTATTTGCACGCGATTCCGATAGGTGGCACTACTGTGAAAAAAATGAGATTTATTAAAACCCCGATAACAATTGGTCGCCGTTCTCGACAATTACTGAAACTACAGGGTAAGGCATATATATGGCAACACTTTCTCGGGTCTCTCAAAAAATGAAGAAAGCTGGTTGGGCTTCAATAATTTGCTGAAATATAGCCACGAGTGTCCTGTAACCACTCTTAAAATATTAGAACGCAGCAACCCTATAAACTTTTGTTCTGAAGGAAAAACTGGGTGTCGTATGGGTGGTGCTGGCACGCAACCCCTTGGAAGCCAATTTCAGCATGGTTCTGAAACGTCGTTTTGGGCACGAATGACCCCTAAAAATATGTGTACTACCTAGTATTGACAGATAAAGGTAATTTAAACAATTGATTTCCTTTAAGTAGGCAGAAATTTTAGAATTGTTCTCGGCTGGTCCCAAAAATCATAGTAAAAAAAAAGTAAAATAGCCTTTTTTTATCTTTAATCGTTGAATTGCTTGGTTTCAGCAACCGGAATTGGTCCAATCCGATGCCCAAAATGTAAAAAAAAATGCTTAAATAAGACAATGCAATTGGCAGGCATTTGATAATTAATTTTTATTGGTCAACATAAGGGTGGTGAGGGGTGGGTAAGCGCGCGTTTTTTGAATATAGCAAAATTCCCTTGACAGTTTCCGACTAAAAGACTTTTGATAAAAATAAATAAGATCGAAGTAAACTTAAATACCAAACCCTGGAGCAGTGCTACCAATATCCGGGGTTCTATGCGCAGCGTGCCAAAACACCGCTTTTTCAACAAATTCGCTAAACTTCCCGCTACTATAAATCAAAAATTAAAAAAATTGCAACCGTTTTCATTTGTCTCCTGCATAAAGAAACACAAGTTCTTGTATGGGAAACACCCAAACCCCCGAAAAAATAATTAGTTTTCCGATAGCAGGCAAATTAGTATGGTCTGGGGGTGTTGCCATATATATGCCTCACCCTGTATTGCAATGCTAGGCAACCTAAGCGAAAAACCTCATTTTCCAGAAAATTCTTTCCGAAGAATCGCTGGCGAGTTATTAAAATTAACGCGTGTCAAACATCTATTAAAACATAATTTTCTGTGGGATTATTCCCAAAAAAGCCCTTATAAAAATTCTACAACGCACGGATGAGCTAATTAAGACCTTTGGAGGCAATTCATGTAGTTGAAAGTTGAAACATTGGCGTTTTTCAATAAAAAAAATTTGCCCATGGCCTTGAGTTTCAGCGGATCAATAAGCTAAAAAAAATATTAAAAATTTATGGGATAAATTAAAACGTATTACTAGAAATCAGGTAGCAACCTTTTTGCTTTGACTAGAAATTCCGAAAGCGTATTCCCGGGCGCGCTGCTGTATTTGGGTGTGAATCAGCGTGTCGGCACGGGAATTCCAAAAGTATTGCATTTTTAGGAAGCATTGGAAGGGGAGGAGGAGCTGCCTAGAAAATGCGGGAACAAAATCATGACATTAACTTACAACCCTCCAAACATACCACAAAAAGTAGGAGTTTTCCGAGTGCGTTGATCGGGGAAGGTGGGGAAAAGCAAAGGAGAGAAAGAAAAAAAGACAACGAAGCCACTTAATTATGATAAAACGTCTTTCCGATACATCGGCCGGTAGATATAGAAGAATGACTAATTTTCGTTACGCTCTTTCTTAATG